CCGAACGGTTCACGAACGGTTCGCTGAACGTTCGGTTCGTTTACATCCCTATCGGTACTATAAAAACCATAGTTTTTGTAATTATTTTTAGATGTATATTATACTATATTAATTATATGGTGCCACCGTTTGAAAAAATTTCTGGGTCCGTCCCTGACAACACATATAACATATTTCGTTCTCTAAGTCATTCAAAATTCGTCGACTTACACGATAATCCATATAATTTGAGAATATACCAACTAATTGCAACTAAATTGATCATCTATACTATCTTATAAAGCATTTGCCTAAAACTCTTAAAAACTCAAGGGTTCGTTTGGTTTGACGGAATGGAATGGATTTGGGAGGATTTGGATTTAAAATTCATTCCAATCCCATGTTTGGTTTGCTAACTGATCAGGATTTGAAATCCCGTGTATTTTTTAAAATCCCGTAAACAAGGGATTTTGAAATCCATAGTAAATGGGCTGGATTTAAAATCCAAATCCAGGCGACATCTCCTCTTCCACGCTTCAATCTTCATGCCCCAACCTTCTCGTCACTTTCCCCATTGCTCTCGCCGGTCCCCTCCAACTTCCCACTGCTCTCGCCGGTTCTCTCCTCTTCTCTGCTTTTCGTCCCGCTTGAACCGGTGCTCATCCTCTTCGCCTCTTCGTCTCTTCGTCCCGCTTGAGCAGGTAAGACTTCCCTTTCCAATCTTCTCGTTATTACATTACAATCTTTATGACTCCAGAATGTCACAACCACCATTGTTGCTGCTGAGCCATTCATTGGTAAACATCGACCTTGYTGTTGCTGGATACTTTACGACTAACCTTAAAAGAGAACTTTAGAAGCCGCTAAGTGATGCAACCTTGCCTAATACTGGGATACCTGAAATTGGAAACCCTAGCCAATGAAACCTCAATTCCAAACCGTCACTATCACACCATTGCTACCGCCTATAAGCGGAATTGACATATCACGTATCTAAACTAATGACCTGTGCATGGTCCGATTGCAGCAATGGGTGGTGAATGTAAGACATGTTAGAAGTAAAACTACTGAAGTTGAGGCTAAACCGATGACTACAGAGTTCAAAAGTTATGATGATTTCAAACTATCTAGATTATGCGATAAATTATAACTCCCACTTGTAGAATGTCCTACTTGGTTAAAATAGATCTTGAATTTATTGGTTCTTCACATCATTACCTAAATTAATAAGCTAGATCACATGCATTTGTCATCCAAAATCAGCAAATTCTTCACATCATTACCTAAATTAATAAGCTATGGACCCAAGAATATATTTCTATATGTCTGAACCCGCATTTAGGACCACCAATAACGATGATATGCTCCCCACATCCTCTAAATGCAAGATCATACTCTTCTCCACATGTCAATGACTCCATATCAGACCCTCCAATCCCTCCTATTACATAAAATTTACCATCCATAAACACCCCAGAACTCAACTTTCGGGCTTAAGCGGGCTTGGAAGGTTTGATTGTTAAATTTTTAGGTTTGTTGGTTAAATAGATAGATTTAAGAAAATGAAAGAGATTTGGTGATTAAAATAATTACAAAAAAAAATCTAAATCCAAATCCTACAAACCAAACAGAGGAATGAATTTCACATCAAATCCAAATCCTACAAACCAAACACAGGAATGGATTTTAAATCCAATCCAAATCCCACGGAATCCAAATCCCTCTAGGAATTCAAATCCCTCAGAAACATTCATGCAAACCAAACGCACCCTTAAACCCGTTCATCCCTAAACG